ACACACGTGAAATCTAATCTTATATCACTAGCCAGTCTCAAACAGATCACCTTAGAAGAACGGCTGATAATATTCTGCTGTATTTTAGGCTACATAAGTCCAGTAAGTGACCCGGGGTCAGCACCGTAGAACTACGGATTCGTCAAGAACAAACGACTACCAATAAAAATGTTCGCCCCTTTTAAGGAGCAGAAGCTAAAATTTGTCCGTATTCGTTTATATTTGGCAAACGGGCAAAATTCTGCAAACTCTGGTATATGTAACCAGAGAAAAAGCACGTTAAAATACAATCTAGTTCCCGCCCACCTTCACCTGCAGAGACGTCGGAGAAGCTAATTCGCCCGGATGTATTAGCCTTCACTTATTTGCCGCCTCTTAAGTCACTGCTTGACTTAGGGGCTCAAAAGATTAACCTTGTTCTGTACACGGGAGCTGCCATGTTAATCATAGATAAGAAATATTTACTTGGTGTAGTTATCTAACCAAAAATATCTCCATTGTTTTCGTTAAGAGACACGACCTTTCGTGACACAGAAGCTCAGATAATCGGTATTTCAGAGTCTGTATAATCAATCACATTCTGGAATATCCGCTTCAATTTAAAAAAGTAAGATCGAGGTACTACTGGTCGAAAATGAGCAAATCGGTAAAAAACATGGTGCCATTGCCAGAAAGTAAAAGTAACCAAATATACAGAGTGAAACTCAACCATTTATTTTTTCTTCTAAACGTTTCCAAACAGTGCACCTGGATATAGCACAAGATTAACACCAGCGGAAAATCTTGCTGGCCCTTATTTCTTACCTTATCGATATTTACTAACGTGTATCGATAGAAATACTCGATAGATAGAATCGTGACCCTTGACGGAGATTTCAGCACAATCAATTTCTATGACTTTCGTCGACAAGTGGGTATCTAGTTACCCTGCATGTCGTTACAGACACGAGTAGTCAATTCGAATCGAAAATGTTTTCAGAGTTGTCGAAAATAATACGTTTTAAAGATTGCGGACAACATCCTACCAAATGAATTAATTGAACGGGTGAATCGGATTCTAAAAACAGTAATCATTGCCAAGAAAGAATCGTGGTTGTCAGCTCTATGTATTTTACATCTCGGAATCAGTAACGCCAAACGAGTCTAATTACAACCGAGTTCTACTGCAACAGGAGACATTAGAATAACATTGGAATAACAAATTCACAAGAAGTTAGCTAAAGTAATTCAGAAATTTCTAACCGACTTACTATTTCTTACGGACGTTTGCATTCTTTAATCCAATTCATATGCCCCAAAAGATCTAAATACTTATGATATATATGGTTGCAGATTAACAGATTTCGGAAACCTCTGGAAGCACCGTACACGGGTCCATTTGAATTATTACAACGTAATCTGAAATATTTTACCATATACATTTCTGACGAGGTGAACAATACCATCTCAACTGAGACTAAAGCCTGTACTCATTTCGAAAACTAAAACTGCTTGAAAGTTTGTAAAATTGCCACCAGAATTGAACAACTCACCGTCAAATTCAGAAAAACGTAATACAAACAAAAATACGACAGCCAAATCTAAAAGAACAATAAAATGGAAAAAAAGAAAATACGTATTGTTACTATTAAAAAACATTGCATTACACAACAAAAATTGCATAAATCATTTTAGAAAACTGTTCTCTCGAGCGTGTATGGTGAGAGAAAAATAACAAGACACAAAATTAGACGGAAATAAAAATCGCCAGGCAATCAGCCATACTTCGACCAACCAATCGGAAAGCTTTCACAACCAGTGTGTAAGAAAAGAAATAAGCAAATAAGGAAAGCAAAACTTTCTCCATTTCTAAATATTGATAGTTCGACAAACGAATCAAAAAGCTTGCACAGAATATAAGACTGTGAGCCAATGAGAAGCGGATCCTCTATAGAGGTGTATATAAACCGGTGGAAAATCAACCAATATCAGTCAATAAAATGATTTTGTTCATTCCCCGATGCTGCGGTCATCGTAACATACTCAGTCGAAATACAACATTTGAACAACTAGTTGGCAACTGCAGATCGCTAACTTGTTCTTGCTACATTGGAAATAAACATATCTTCATTCACCACGTGGTCAAGCGGTGACTACCACATTTGGATGCACACACACACACACACACACACACACACACACACACACACACACACACACTTCCTCCCGGACTCATCCTCTCTCGCTTATGCGCCAGTACTTTTAAACCTGGAATCTTGAAACTTCAACTCGCCTTATGCTTCTGTATCATCATATGGTGTTACATAAAGATTAATTTTATATATTTTCAACACTTTGTGTGTTATCTTTTAATTATTATGCAAGGTCAATATACACGCAATTTAATTATCCCGATATATGATGGGAACGGACGTTTTCGTAAGATAAACAATTTGTAGAGGACCGTGTGTTTACGTGTTGTTAAATTAGGGACACGTGCTGTTTATTCCAGCTACAAGAACAATGCGGACTCAAGGTGAGTCCAACGGAAGATGTAAGGAAAACAAACAAGACACACACACACACATATATAACAAGTATATGTATTAAACAACGAACTTTACAATGGACAAAGATATTAACATTTGTGTTTGTGTGCGAAAGTAAAGTGTTTGTATATTGGTGAAAGTTCGTACGTATGTGTGTTTCATGGCGTTTTCCCACAAGTGGACGACGACGCGGAGCTCTGCGAGAGATCACATTTTTAAATGTGTCCGCTGAAATGCAAAGTAGAAAGAGAACGATGCAATAAATTGCCCAGTATTTATAGTGTAGGTAGAGCATGCCCTAGTGAAATATTTGGACAATTAAGGAAGAGTTAACTCCGACAAATTCATCCTCTTATTGATCTAAAATTCCACATAAATTGTACCAATAAAAATAGGATCAGTAGTACACATAGATGCCTGTAGCAGTAATTGATCGGTCGAAATTCCGTTGTAAAAATAAGCGTAACAAAATAGTATTTTTGCAATAGGAACGACTCTTCGAATAACAAAGTTGTACTAAACTCTCATTAAAATTATTGGACGATTAAAATAGTTTTTCCATTGTCTCCGATCGTTATAGCTTTGAGGAGTAGAAAATACACATTTATTTGTCTATACATGATTTGAAAAATAAATTGCAAAAGAAAAGAATGCTTATTATTTCTACCATGCGGTACATCATTATTAGCACACATTCAGGTTCGAAACACTTTGGAAATACGAAAACGAATTGCAACTATTCAAACGAAAACATTAAAATCGATAAAAATATTGAGAAAAATAACGTCAGACTAACAGACAATCCATCATCTGTAATTTCAGCCAATCGCAGATTAACGTGGCTGTAACAAAAGGTCTGATTGGTTATTTCATTGGAAGCATTACAAACTGTCAATCTGATGGTTTTACGATAAAGATAATAAAAAAAAATGTCTCTTTCCTATATCGATAGCGTAAAGAACTGTCAGCTTGTTGATAAAACTTGACCTTTTATTATTCCGACACAAAATAACCATAATATGTTGCTGTTCCGAGTCTATCTTTTCACTCATTCCATATACACACTTATACATCATTATAGGCGGTCTCATAAATTTTTTCCAGTGTCTGGCTATGAAAAATCACCTTCAAGGAACCTTAATTACCATTCACATCTGATATCTGAAAGTAACATTGAGTAAATTTCCACTCGAATGCTTTTCCGAGGACGTGAGTGATAACCTACGCGTACTGGGTGAGTATAGATACGAGGACGATTGACAAGTGTTAAAGAAAAGGGCCGATTCTATGGTTTATAACTTAGATATGAGAAAAGTTCAACTGTATTTAATGAATGATATTGGAATAAAATTTGAAAATAAAAACTAATTATGAAGTGAATTAGTTTCAGAATGATTAGATAAATCTAGAGGCTCTTCAATGAATATAAACCGAATAATATTTAGACTGAATAGAACCCTATACTCACCCGCTACATTCGCGAAGTAGGAAGAAAAAGACGAGAAATAATAAACTACTTTTCTTTTTTCTTTTTGACCTACATAAAAAGAAATATCTCCAAAAACCTCGAGACGTAAAGGTTTATATAAAGACCTAACAATTGTATTAGTGTGTTGTTAGGTTGTTGGTTAGGCCACTTGAATTGGACCCCCAAAAAACGTCTCTGGTTTAAACGTCTCCTTAAGCCTATAAAAAGGCGAGCATTTCTCTCCCTAGCCTCTTTCATTTTTTTTTTTTTCCACACGGCCTTTCAGATTTAGTCGGACGTTCAGTTGATACGCGGCAGCTGGTCTCTCATGCGTTTTTTTCTTTTGTTTTTACTATTGAACTTTATTTCACACGCTTATTTCTCGCACACTTACACGTAAACATGTGACTATGATGTACACTAATTTCATACACACAAAAACGCAAATTCTCTAGCTAGTTTAAATGTTTTTCTATGCAATTACTTTAAATGTTTTCTTTCATCGTAATTGTATATTTATGTAATTCCTTTTTGTCAGTACATGCAATTAGTTGTCGTGTGCGTGAGTGTTATTTTTTACTTGGACTCGCATGAGTCCGCCATAAATTTTGCGGGATAAATATTCCAGGACTTCTTTTATTATTATTATTATTATTATTATTATTATTAACTAAAACACGCAAGCATCCCGGAACAAAACAGCATCCTCTTGTAGAAAAGGATTAAGACCTGCCTATGTCTAATTTACAATAAAAAATACATTCGCCTGTTGTCTTGTAGGAATAATAATTTTTAGGGAGCCGGTTATCCAAAATTCAGTATTGTAACTAGTGATAATGTCGTTACGAAATAAAGTAGATCTATAGAAACGGAAAATAATGGTCAAACCAAACTGAGACATCATTGGTAACAAACCTGTGCGTTGGGTTCATCCTGTAAAACAAAATAGGGATCAGGTAAGCAACCTACTAAAAGTCGGCAAAGACATGAGAAAAAAATTTACAATGAATTGTAATGTTTTTTTTTTTTTTCTAATACTATCAATATCATTGCAAACAAAGGTCGCTATCCAACGCATCAAGACTTCGCCGATAGACCGATTCAATACATTTAGTGCTGTGTCCTTTTTATCTTTGTCTTGTTGTCCGCTCTCTCTTTCTTTGTCTTGTTGTCCTCTTTCTTTGTCTTGTTGTCCTCTTTCTTTGTCTTGTTGTCCGCTCTCTTTGTCTTGTTGTCCTCTCTCTTTGTCTTGTTGTCCTCTCTCTTTGTCTTGTTGTCCTCTCTCTTTGTCTTGTTGTCCGCTCTCTCTCTCTGTCTTGTTGTCCGCTCTCTCTCTCTGTCTTGTTGTCCGCTCTCTCTCTCTGTCTTGTTGTCCGCTCTCTCTCTCTGTCTTGTTGTCCGCTCTCTCTCTCTGTCTTGTTGTCCGCTCTCTCTCTCTCTGTCTTGTTGTCCGCTCTCTCTCTCTCTTTGTCTTGTTGTCCGCTCTCTCTTTCTTTGTCTTGTTGTCCGCTCTCTCTCTCTTTGTCTTGTTGTCCGCTCTCTCTCTCTTTGTCTTGTTGTCCGCTCTCTCTTTCTTTGTATCTATCAAGACCCGAATTAGTGTAGTCCGCCAAAGTAATCTTTGTTAGAAACAAAATTTAAAGGTTAAATATTTCAAATAATAGAAATATTTTACTTATATCAAATTAAAACGCGTTCTATTTTATATTCGATTTACATCATTAAAATATTGCGAAGATTTCTTTTCAATCCGGTGCCGTCGCCTATTTTCAGTGTTTTTGATTACAAGAATAACATTAACACTTATTATAACATCGATACTCAAGCTTTTACTTATATATAAATGTAAGACAAAGTGGAAAAGTTTGCTTCGGAGGCGTTTCGTTCTTGAGTACTTCATCGGAATAAATTTATATTCGTGCTATTACAAATGCGCACGAACGAGGGATCCTAGGGATTTTTTTTTAATCTATCCTATTTAATTTAGATTCTGAAATTAAAATTAGATTAAAAATCTTAAATTCTTAGCATCCATCCATACATATAGCATTCCTAAGTAATTATATAATATTATATATAATATTCATCATTGGTAAGGAATAAGGTCCAATGATACAGCTTTTTACGTTGTGGAGCAAACTACCGAGAGGGACCTTCACTACACACTTTAAATTAAAGTCTAGGTTCAATTATATATAATATATATCCTTATAATATGCACTTTTTAACCCCTCCTTGTATGCCCTTACCTCATTCAATAACACTCTACTTTGAGTGGCTCTTCGGTTTTGTATCGAGTGAAGAAATATATATGTAAACCTAAAGAGCCAGGTAAACCTACCTAGGTTTCACCTAAACGGATCGTCAGGGTAAAACTGGCCAAAGAGGTAAAAAATGGAACAGAATATAATAGCTTCAACCAGAATCAACCATGACCACGTGACCAAAAAAGAAAAAAAAGACCAAACAAGTAAAACTAGTAAAAACTCCCTAACGGGGGGGTTAGGGGGTTACGTTCTATATTCAAAAACGAATAGAAGAAAACAACAAAGAAAGAAAAAAATAAGAACAGGAATTAAGACAGAAGATAACAATTGACATTGCATTTAAATTTTTGAAGATCAAACGAGAAGTACGAGAGAAGAAACTGTTAGCATAGAACTTACGGTTACATCTAAATATTTCAACTGTAAAGTGATTAGACCTTGCTGTCAATTAAGTACCGTGCTTAACTTCATAAAGTCTAGATACGATAGAGGAAAATTCATCAAAACAATTACCAGGAATCTATTTATAAGAAAGGCACAGGGAAACTGTTACAGCGGTGGAAAGATGATTGGAGCAGACATGCTAGGTCAGGACCAATAATATTGCAGATTCTTCTATTTTATTGAGGATCTCTCTCTCTCTCATATATATATATATATATAATCAGGAGCATCAGGGTGCACCTCGAGGTGGTGTAATGGCTAGCAAGCTTGTCTCGCTAGAACAATTACGACTGAGTTGTGAGTCCGATCTTCACTGGGTGCCCCCTACTTTCGGCCTTGTGCCACATCTAAGCTACGCTTGGAAAAACACTATATCAGGAGCAATATATAGACCATTCATGGCAGCAATATTCAAGGCATGAACAAAGGGTAGATTAATAAATATGTAAGAGAAACAATTTTTTTTTTTTTTTCACGAATTTTTCACGACATAAAACAAATTTCTTAGCAACTGACGCTACATAATCTTTTCACTTCATATCATCGGAAAACGCTAGCCCCGAAAGGTGCCATGTGTCAGTATCTTGGAGGTTAACATGTCATGCTGTTGGGAGGCATGAAGGATTCTCGCAGATGGTTCAAACAGCGGTTTCGTTTTGGAGGCTTTAATCTTCAAGATCAGCTGTCAATTACCTTTTACTATTAAGACAGGAGTGAATAAATGTGTCCTCAGCATAGATACCAAGTCAACTAATGCCATCAGGAAGGTCAATGAAAATTAGGAACAAATTTATGTCCAAGGATAGAGCCCGGAGGACGCCTACATTAATGCAAATCCCCTAACAGTCACGGAACTCAAATAATTTCAGAAACTGACCTCACCAAAGTTTACTTCCATGTGCCAGTCTCAAAGGAAGGTATCCTCCAAATAGCAATTATAGCAACATTTGAAGTATACAAATTTACACGGATGCTATTTAGGTTACAGAACTGTGTAGAAACGTTTCAACGTCTAGTAGACAAACCTCTTCAAGGATTGCTATTTATTTACGCCCACACAAGCGGCATATTAATAACAAATGCATGTAGTGGGTACGGAGATCACGTTTATATCGGCTATTCCAAAGATTATCAAACTTTGACTTTAGTCAATTTTGAGGTTTGTGTTTGAGGCCAGTGAAATCAAATGTATTGGACAAGTCATGGGGAAAGAATTTATTTCTCCCTTAACATGAAAGTTTGAAGATATTCAGAATTTCCCACAATCAACTCCAATACGGTAACTACACCCATACATTGGACTAATAAATTACTATTGACGATTCGTTCCTAAATGCTCATCAATCCTCGCATCACTAACACATCTAATACATAAGGAAAATAAAACCGTCAACCTTCAACCAGAAGGAGTGAAAGGCTCATCATTGAAGATTTCATTGGATACACGTTATTGTCACATGTTCAGAACTGTTCTTAAAGTCAGACTACGCTTACCAGAGATACCTTCAACACGTCTAGAGCAACAGTTATAGATTCATGCTAAAATTCTACTTCAACAGCGCGGTAAAATTCACTTACAAATACTAAGTTAGTCGGAACAGGCAGATTACTGTAGGGCGATTACCATTTTGTTGCGATATTACCTCATTCTTGAGATGTATTTGTGTTGACAGGATGTATTGTAATTGTTAACTTGTCATGGAATGGTTGAACATTCTCTAAGCATTAGTGTATAGAACAGATGATTGACTCTTTAAAAAAAAAAAAACTTGCGGGCGTTATACTGACCGGCAAACAGATATTGAATACCGGAAGACAACAACAAAGAAAAAGATTACTTGAGTAAAAAGATGTATATTGCCAAGTTTATTTTCGTTAAAGAAAACACATCAGCAAAAATAAGGTGACAATGTAGTAGCTAAAACTTTGTGATAGCAACAACAAAGATGAGGACAATAGTCCGAATATAAATAGTTTTAAAAAAAAGATTATTTTTATTGCCTTTGCAAACTGAAGAGAAAGTGGTGAATGCTGAAATGTATATACGAGTACGCAAAATCCTATTAAAGGTGTTGAGAGATTTACATCTGAGTAGAACTCCTAGTTGGTTTGCTAGAATTAAGTATATCTGTATCTAGTCAAATAAACGTAGGGTATTGTATGCTGCGTACGGCAACATTAGGTTAGCTGGTGACCAAAGAACTTCTACAGCCGGCAGATGAGACATTGTTCTATCACCTAGACATCTCAGGGCGGAAAAAAGATAAGACTTTACGCTTCCATTTGCTTTCTATAACGCCATCTAGAGTTAGCAGAAGTTTTGGGGCAGACAAGTGGGGTAATCTCGCACTACATTGATCCTAGGCATAGGGGAGAGAAGCGACACACACACACACATACATACACGCACGCACACACACACACATATATATATATATATATATATATATATATATATATATATATATATATATATAACCAAGTATATAATTGGTATATACGGAATGAATTCCAATAACCAACAATTACTATTCTTAAAAGAGTGCTCAATACAAAGTAGAGCAGATATAATTATTATTTATAAAAAAATTATAACATAAGTATGTTTATAAAATCACTTTTTTTTTTTATCTTCAACATCATCACTTGATAAGACACCGAGGGTGTTGAAACAAAATGGCTATTTTTGTAGTGATTTTATAACATAACATACTTATGTTATAATTTTTTTTATAAATAATAATAATTATATATATATATATATATATATATATATATATATAATATAATGTGTGAGAGAGAGAGATATATAAATAAATATATAACGTTTAAAGTGGGAAAAATCCATTACTTAGAAAATTATTTTGTTTACATATCGATACGAAATTGAGCCGATATACAAATTTCGAGGTATTTAAGACGAGAAGGATTTAGCTTAGACATTGTTCTAACTTTGCTTGATCGGCAAAACTGCTCCGTGGCCGAGTAGGTTAAAGCAAGTCGGATCTTACAAAGGTTTTCCTTTACCTTGACCGATGCAGTTTCGAATCTTGCCGGAGAGCGTATATTTTTCTTTTATAAGATTTCTCGAATATTCTGGCCGGTAGACGAAATAAATAATAATAAACGGAAATATGAGCATCAACTAAAAATAACGTATCAGGTTATATATATGAGAGAGAGGGTATGCGTGTGTGCATGCGTGCGAACATATTCTTGGATTGACGTTATTCGCTAATGTTAACAAAGAAATTCTATCTCCATAACAGTTTTTTTTTTTTTTTTTATCATACGAAAGAGTAAACTAAACCAGCTACAGTAGTCTATTTACCTTTTTGAGTCTTGGATAGTCTGCGACGTTTTTGTTTTTTCTTTAGAAAAATCAACACTGGGCTATTATTGCGGGACGGCAAGAACTGTCACTTATTGTTTTATAAATCTTGAATTATACGTCCAACAAACAATAAATTACAGACTGTCAGGATAAATAAGTACCCAAGGTATAATAAAACGGATATCACCGACAGCAGTTCAGTAGAACAATTCAACATTTTACTTGAGAAAGAAAAGAATTCTTGTGTCACATGAAGTGAAAAGTCTACACTGAATCCATTGCTAGATCAGCTGCTAAGAAAGTTGGTTCACTGTATTATGCTAGGCAATTTTTCTCTCCAGAAATTATCTTACCTATCTATAAGTCTCTCTTTCGTCCATGCTTAGGATATTTCTGCCACATATGGTCAAGTGTTCCTGCTATATGTTTAGAAATTCCTGATAAAGTCCAAATTAGAATCAGCAATAATATTGGTCCTGACTTGGCATCTCTTGCTTCACTCACTTCTCTACCGCCGTAAAGTTGCTTCCCTCTGCCTTTTCTATAAATACTTTCATCGTAATTGTTCGAATAAGCTCTTCGC